CCCACTTTTTCTTCTAACAGGTTTAGTGTACCTGGTTTTATGTTGAGGTCTTGGAACTCACTTGGACTTTAGTTTTGTGCAGGGTGATAAATAGGGATCTATTTGCATTTTTCTAAATGTAGACTTCCAGTTAGATCAGCACCATTTATTGAAGATGCTATCTTTTTTCCATTGTAAGGTTTTGGCATCTTTGTCAAAAATTAAGTATCTGTAGGTGTGTGGGTTTATTTCTGGGTCATTGATTCAAGTTCATTAATCAGCCCATCTATTTCTATGCCAGTACCATGAAGCTTTTATTACAATTGCTCTGTAGTATAGCTTGAGGTCAGGTATGGTGATACCTCAAGAAATTCTATTATTGTATAGGATTGCTTTAGCGATTCTGTGTTTTTTGTTATTCCATATGATGTTTAGAATTATTTTTTCAAGGTCTGTGAAAATTTGTGTTGCTATTTTGATGGGGATTGCATTGAATCTATAGATTGCCTTTGGTAAGATGGCCATTTTTACTATATTAATCTTACATATACATGAACATGGGAGATCTTTCCATCTTCTAGTATCTTCTTCAATTTTTTTTCATAGCCTTGAGGTTCTTGTCATACAGGTCTTTGACTTGCTTGGTTAGAGTTACCCCTAAATACTTTATGTTATTTGTGGCTATTATGAAGTGTGTGGTTGCTCTAATTTCTTTCTCAGCCTGTTTGTCATTTGTATACAAGCGGGCTACTGATTTTTTAAATTAATCTTGTATCCAGCCACTTTGTTGAAGGAGTTTATCAGCTGCAGGAATTCTCTGGTAGAATTTTGGGGTCGCTTATGTATACTATCATATCATCTGCGAATAGTAACACTTTGACTTTGTCCTTCCTAATTTGTATCCCTTTGATCTCCTTTAGTTGTCTTATTGCTCTAGCTAGAATGCCTAGTACCATACTGAAGAGATACAGATAGAGTGGGCAACCTTGTTTTGTCCCTTATTTTAGTGAAATTGCTTTGCGTTTCCATTTAGTTTGATGTTGGGTATTGGCTTGCTGTACTGAGCCTTTATTATGCATTCTTGTATCCTTGATCTCTCCAAGACTTTTCTTATAAAGGGTGTTGGACTTTCTCATTGCTTTTTCCACATTTAATGAGATGATCATGTGATTTTTTTTTTCTTTCATTGATGGATTTTCATGTGTTGAACCATTCCTATATCCCTGAAATGAAGCCTACTTAATTATGGTGGATGATGTGTTTGATGTGTTCTTGGATTTGGTTTGCAACCATTTTATTGAGTATTTTTGCATTGATGTACATGAGTGAAATTGGCGTGAAATTTTCCATCTTTTTTGAGTCTTTGTGTGGTTTAGGTATCAGGATGACTGTGACTTCATAGAATGAGTTTGGTATTGTTCCTTCTGTCTCTATTTTGTGAAATAGTTTGAAGAGTGTTGGTGTTAACTCTTCTTTGAAAGTCTGGTAGACATCCGTACTAAAACCATCTGGCCCTGAGCTTTTTTTGGTTGGGAAACTTTTGAGGATGCTTGCTTCTACTGCCTTAGGGGTTGTAGGGCTGTTTTATTTGTTTACCTGCTCTTGATTTAACTTTGGTAGGTGAAATCTATCAAGAAAATCATCCATTTTTAGATTTTCTAATTTTCTGGAGTATAAGACTTTACAGTAAGATGTAATGATTCTTTGGATTTCCTCAGGGTCTGTTTTTATGTCGCTCTTTTGATTTCTGATCTTGTTAATTTGGGTACTCTCACCCTATCTTTTAGTTAGTTTGGCTAAGGGTTTGTCTTTTTTGTTGATTTTTTCAAAGAACCAACTATTGGTTTTGTTGATTCTTTGTATTGCACTCTTTGTCTCTAATTTATTGATTTCATCCCCAAGTTTGATTATTTCCTGCTGTCTACTCCTCTTGGGTGTGTTTGCTTTTCTTTTCTTTTTTTCTATTATTATTTTTTTTTTCTAAAACTTTCAGGTGATCTGCTAAGTTGCTAATATGGGATCTCTCCAATTTCTTTATGAAGCCGCTTGGTGCTGTGAACTTTATTCATAGCACTATTTTCATGGTGTCCCATGAGTTTGGTTAAGTTGTGCCCTTTTTTTCATTGAATTCCAGGAAGTCCAGTGATCACTGAGCAGGGAGTTGTTCATTTCTAATGAGTGTGCAGGCTTTTTATTGTTTCTGTTGTTATTGAGGTCTAGCTTTAATCCATGGTGGTCTGCTAAGGAACAATGGGTTAATTCAATTTTCATGTACCAGCTGAAGTTTGCTTTGTGACTGACTTACATGGTCAATTTTGGGGAAGGTTCCTAGTGGAAAATGTATATTCTTTTGTGTTTGAGTGAAAAGTTCTGTAGACATCTATTAGTTCCATTTGATTCATGACCTCTGTTAGTATCATTATTTCTTTGTTTAGTAACTGTCTCAATGATCTGTTCCTTGGGAGAGTGGGGTGTTGAAGTCTCCCACTATTGTTGTATTGGGATCAATATGTGATTTAAGCTTTAATAATGTTTCTTTTACCAATGCAAGTGCCTTTGTATTTGGGCATAGATGTTCAGGATTGTGATGTCCTCATAGTGCATTTTTTTTATGAAAATGAAGTGTCCTTTTCCACCTTTTCTGGTTAATTTGGGTTGAAAGTCTATTTGTGTTCTTATGCTGGCCTTTAGCCATCTGGTTGTCCTTAGCCTTGAGTGTTTGTTCCTGGAACATGCTGAGTTTCTCAGGTCTTATGATCAGGTGAGGACCTGCTTGTCTCCTCATCTAGAAGAGCTACATTGAAGACTGGATCCTCCCATCTCTGGAGTCTAGAGGAGTCATCAGGACGGCGATATAGGTCCAGGAAACAGCATTTCTGATGCAGCCATGTGGGGCTGGGTGTTTGAGAAGGCAGGGTCATGGGCACAGGTGCCTTGAAGGGCAGGAGCATGGGATCAGACATCACTTCCTTAAAGCGCAGGGGCATGAGTGCCTCAAAGGTCAGGGGTATGGGTGCCTTGCCGGACAGGGGTACAGAGGTAGATGCCTAGAAGTTCGTGGGTAGTGGGCATGGATACCTCAAAGAGCAGGCACACGGGCACAAGTGTGCCCAAGTGCAGGTGTCTCTGAAGGCTGTTGCAGGGTTGCTGGTGTTTCAGGAGGCAGCCACAGGGCACTGCCATCTCAAGTGTTAACTGCAGGGGCTGTGGGCATTTGTGGTAGCAGCAACAGAGGGCTCAGGATGCTCAGTTGGCAGTTGAGGGGACATGGGCACAGGGTGTAAGTTTTTCAGATGGCAACCATGGGGGCTCGGGTGCTTCCAGTGGCAGTTGAGCTGCGTCTTACAGGCCTAGTAGAGGCTGAGCTCCTGGCATTCCTGTATTCCTCTAGGCTCTGTCATCTTGGATCCAGGATTAGTATGATTTTATTGTCCACCTGGTCTTCCCATGGGGACTAGTAGAACTGCAGTTTGGAGGTTGGGATGCTGTCCCTAGAATCCAGATGTTGACCTCAGAGGAGCGGGAGGAATTTGAGATCTGGTTGCTGGAGTGGAGTGGATCCCTGGATCTGGGGGCCTGCCTGCGCTTGCTTCAGCATGTGGAAAGCACAGGGACCTCATAGTTTGTGACTCCTGGACCCAGGAGATGACCACAGGAGACCTAGATCTAATTGTTCCTGAATCCTGGGATGTCCAGGACCAGGAAGCACCACAGTTGGTGTTTTGGATCCAGCTACCTGCTTACTCACTGGTTTAGCCCTTTAGATAGAATACACACTGGTCGTTGCTGTCTTGGAACCCTCTAGATTCCTGCTTCTTAACCTGTTCAGCAACAACATGAGCCCATTCCCTAGCCTTTATGTCAGTAATTTTTGGTGTTTGGGGACTCAGACAGGCAGGCACTGAAGGAGAAGATGGACAGATACATATATATCTCTTCCTGTTTGTTCTGCTTCTCTGACAAGACCTGATCTTTATAGCTAGTATATAGTGTGTGTGCACTAGTTATTGTGGAACCACCTTTTGATTCGACTTAAGACTTACTCCTTGAGATGGAAGCCAGAACTGGCACTGATGAAGTGGCCAAGAACCTGAGACTAGATAGGTCATGGGTGTAGGGGAAAATCAACTACTACTATTCTGCTAAAGGAATATAATAATAACATGATTCCCAATGATCTACTGCTGTACCCATAGATCAATGTCTTGTTCAGTCCACATCAGAGAAGCTTCTTGAAGTAGATGAGAATTAACATAGAAACTCATAACTGGACAATGTGCAGAGAGTCAAAAACTTTGGAGCACTCAGTTTTAAAGGGGATGTCTTTTATCAAACTCCTCAAGGCTCAGGAATCCATAGGAAAGAGGGGGCAGAAAGACTATAAGACAAAGAGGTGATGGACGACTCTAAGGAGACAGTGTCTTCCAGACACAACAAGGATGATGCATATATGAACTCAGAGACTGTGGCAACACATGTAAGACTTGCACGGGTTCAAGCTACCCAGAGCCCAGTGAGGAGAGAAAAAAGTAGACAGGAGGTCCAACCCCTAACAGAGAAGCTACTTGCAATTAATACCCACTAGTAATTTCTCCAATGGAATCTTACTGGGTATATCAACTATACCCCAGGGCATGCCTAGGAGTAGTTGGCCAACCCAAAAGAGTTTACTGCTTTTGGTTTTTGTGTTTGTTGTTGTTATTGTTGGTTTTATTGGTTTTTTTGTTTGTTTGTTTGTTTTTGTTTTTTGGTGAACTTTTTGTTTGGTTTGTTGGGGATTTTTTTATCTTATTGTTTTGTTGTCTATTTGTCTTGATTGTTGTTTGGTGAGATATTTTAATTTCGTTTTGGAAAAATAGAAAAAACATACAGGTTGGTGAGTAGGAAGGTAGGGAGAATATGGAAGGAGTTTGGGGAGGGGAAAAGATGATCAAAATATTTGTCTAAAAAACTTAAATAAGCCAGCTCTCTGCCACTGCCCTTGGTTGTGGGGTCGTGCTTGGCACCGGGCTGCAGTCATCATGAACTTACTTCAGCTGGTTCATGACCACTGGGTTCACGTACTTGTCCCCGTGGGCTTTCTCTTTGGATGTTATCTAGACAAGAGGGATGGTGAAAAACTGACTACCTTCCAGAATAACAGCATGCTATTTCAAAGGGAACTGAGATCCAATGAAGTTACTTGGAAGTAAAGACTGGTTAAATCACAGAATGATCATATTTTAAAAGTTGTAAAAGCAATAAAAACATTTATTATTTAGATACAAAAACTTAAATAAAGTGTGACTTGTCTTTATTTTAAGAAAATATTCATATTTTTTACTTAATTTTGTGTTTGTTTGTATTCTTTTCAACCTTTTATGACATTTACAAATTCCATAGACTCCAGGGTCCCATCAGCCATGGACCAACTCTTCCCTGACCACAGCATACTCATGCTCTGTGCCTTTGCATCCCCCGCTCATCTATACCTTAGCTAGGCTTCAAAAGTGCCCTTGCCCATTGCATCAGCCTACAAGGGAAGAAGCAAAAGAGAGGGGTGAACTGTCTTGCAAACGCTGTGAAGACCTTGTGACCATTTGAATGCATTATGAATGGCCATGCCATGGTCTAGAAAAACGTGTGCACCATTGAAGGGATCTGAGGCTCAAGTAGATAAATACTTGTCTCATTAAAACACAACCTGGGGGTTCAGCCATGCTTAAGAAACTAGACAGAGATGGTGACAATTAAATTCCAATTTAGGATAATTGTGTTTTCTTGTGTGTGTGGGTTTAAAAGACAGATTTTCTTCTTATTTACATATTAGCCATTCATGGAGCCTTTGTCGAAGGGATAATATACACAGCCACTACTCTTCCTTTAAGATGAGTCACTCAAGCTATTGCCCACACTTCTAGTTTGTGTTCAGTGACGGGAGTCCCAGCAAAAGAGTAAAAGATGGTGCTCAAAGGCCTGGGGAGATGGCCCAGTTGGTAAGCATTCGCTGCACACGCATAAAGACATGATTTAAGATCCTTAGTAACCACATAGAAGTTGGGAATGTGCTGGGCATGGTGGCACATCCCTTTAATCTGAGCATTTGGGAGGCAGAAGCAGGAACATCACTGTGAGTTTGAGGCCAGACTGGTTACATAGTGAGTTCTAGGATAGCCAGAGCTATGTAGAGAGAGCCTGTCTCATCCTCCCCTCCCCAAATCTGGGAGTGGCCACCTATATGAGGGCTTTCTAGTCAGCCAGTCTAGCAAGTTCATGAGATCCAAGTTCAGAGGCAGACCCTGTCTCCAAAGATTAAGGTGAAGAAGCAATTAAGGAAGATATCTGACCTCTGGCTACCATATGCACACACACCCATGTGTATATGCACACACATTTAAGGATACACACACACACACAAACACTGCTCAGGGCTGGTAAGACTATGAGGTACCAAAAAAAGGCTCCTTGGAGCTGGTTCCCCACCCCCTAAAATAAACTAATGTAGTTAAAGGTAAAAGAAGAAAAAAGCCAGGCAGTGGTGGTGCACACCTTTAATCCCAGCACTCAGGAAGCAGAGGCAGGTAGATCTCTGAGTCTGAAGCCAGCCTGGTCCACAGACAGAGTTCCAGGACTATAAAGAATACACAGAGAAACCCTATCTTGAAAAACAAAACAACTTGGATAAAATACTTAAATTTTTAAAGTATATGTTTAATGGTAAAAAGGTACAAAATAAAAAGTACATGGGGTCAACTAAACCATTTTCCTAAAACCTTTGTAAGGCAATGGCGTTGGGAAGCTGGGAGAGGCTGTGATCAAACAGGTATGCTAAATGAAAACAAGGCAAAAAAAGAAAAAAAAAAAAAAAGAGGAAAGAGGCAAACTACCAAAGAAATTATATATCACGGTTTATTTTTTTTCCACTACAAATTACCTTTAAATTATCAAGAAAAAAATGTTTAAGAAGTAGAAATATTAGCAAATTATAAAAACAATCCTCAACAGATGCCATTTTAGTTACTTTAAAACCATACCGGATGAGGCAAAAAAAAAAATCAGTTTTGCTAATCAATCACATCATAATGGAGTTACGAGTCTACTCTTGCCTATCAAATGGGCAGAATTTCCTTTCAGATTGCTTGCTTACACTCCAAGTTAGCAGCCTGATTTATGCACAGGTCCTAGGAACACACACAGCAATAGCCCTTTTTTGGGGGGGGAGGGGCAATTTAAGTCACCTACTTCTGTCATCAGATTGTAAATATTTAGACAATGGCCCACTAATGCTATGCCTAGTGGTTATCATAAGAAAATAATGATACAAAAATATTTATTCAAGGTGTTCACTGTAGTTCAGTTTTAACAGAATATTGTACAATTTTAGCAGAAGATTGGCTACACCATAAACATTCAATGGGTAAACACTGAAGTTTATAGGAATTATGAAAAGGTCATAAATGGAGTATAGTGGTGTTGTCATAAACATCAAATTTCTAAATTCATTATAGCCTGGGGCACTGCTAAGGATATATTGCATGCTGTGGAAAGGTATGAATCAATTTCAAGTGAAAATAATGTGTCTATGTGTAGTTTCTCTTTCTCTGTGTGTGTGCCTGTTTCTCTCCATATCTCTCTGTGTGTGTGTCTGCATGTTTATACAAAGTAAAAAAAAAAAAAAAAAAAAAAAAAAAAAAAAAAAAAAAAAAAAAAACCTGATTTATGTAAAATAAAATGTCAATCATGCCTATCTCTCAGAGTACCGAGCCCACATACCTATTGCTAAAGGTGAAAGATTTGTCTTCTCAGGAGAAGCAAGTGTATTGGATAACTATCGTTGTTCCAGAACCTTTCTGCTTGTCCTGCCACAAATGTGCATTACATGTACAAAAGAGTGCCATTTTGTCTGAGGAAGCCCATTTACTTGTATTTGCTTGTACTCTCCCTCTAAAATGACTTCAATATGAAAAGGAAGTAGACTCATTATAGCACAAATATGAAGAACAACGTCAAAATCTATAATGTGAATTTTTGTTTGCCTAAGGGCAAACTTTCAAAGTCTAAATAAACCTGCACAAGCTGATGAGAATGCAGCCTACACAGAGCCTAGTGATGAGCTTTGATTTCACACACAGACTCAACACATGTTTAGGGATCTCCGTGATTTTACCTTAGTGCCCAAACTCAGGAAATTATCTTGTTTTCTGCCTTTTACTTTATATCTTGCCCTGCACAAGTGTCAAAGAGTGACTGTCCCTTCAAGGAAGAAGAAATCCACTGTTCTGTGTAGCCAACAAATATTTTCCTAATCTAATGTGGTCACAGACTAATTCTTTCTGAAGACATTTTTCTGTTATAAATAGCTTTACAGCAAGGTCTTTCTCAGTCAGATAAGATCTGGTGGGCTAAAATGTTCTGTCATTGACAATGATGGCACCATTTCCATCATGAAGTCACCATTTCCCTCCATCTTTAGTGTCCTGTTCTCTGTGAAGATCCTTAACTGTTTAACTGTCCCAGAGAATGTGATTTCCAGAACTCTCTCCTCAGGAGCATGGTTATATTGCTTGTATCCCTCCATCCCACATCTACTTAGAATATGGTACTTAATATGTACACATATGGTTTACCTGTGCAGCATGCTGGTCACTGTCCCTTCCCTGGATTGTGAGGGACACATAGTAAGGGCCATAGCTGCGTAGTCATTCTAACATCTATCTCGGATCAAGCAGACTAAACAATAGTAAATTAAAAAGTCTCCTGGGGATTTTCATAGAAGACATTTATGTTAGTCTGCTGAGGACACTTTGATAAAATACCAGAGACAGGCTGGCTTAAGTAGCAGGCATTTGTTTCCTCACAACTGTTGAAAGATGAGCAGGTAAACTTCCCATCCTTGCTTGTAGATTCTTGTCTGGGCCCTTCCTCCATGTGTGTAAAGGGGGAGAAGAGGTTTTGGTCTCTCTGCAACTGATAATTATCCTAACACAATGACTGTTACTTGTTTGGTATAAGATGTGGACTGTATTATTTCTCCCCAAATGCATGTGTCAATATTCTAACTCCGGGAACCTCATACTGCAACAGTATTTGAAGACAGGATCTTGTAAAGAGGTGACCAAGTTCCAATGAGACCATTATGGTGGATCCTAATCCACTCTCCTTGGTGTCTTTGTAACCAGAGGAATTAGGTCACAAGATGCATTGCTCAGAGAAAGGGGATGTGGTGTGACCCCGGAGGTCCCATCTACCAGTCAAGAAGAAAGAGAAGCATCCCACATTGCCAGCACTTCATTTTACACATCCAGCTCCCAGAATTGTGAGAAACTAGATGTCTGTTGTTAAAGCTGCCAGCCTGTGGCCTTCAGTCAGAGTGGGCAAAGACCAGTCTTACGGGACTGTTTGAAAGTCAGGTGCCTTATGCCCTGTTTTGGGGAAAACTGAAGACTAATTATACTTGAAACAGTATAGCCATGAGAAAAGGTACATTGGTCCCACTTTACAAGCTTGCCCCCCCTTCTTTTGCACTGTCCCACTCCTGCTCACAGGACCTCGAGAAGGTGTGATATGTGACCCCACATACATCCACACCAGCCATGAAAGCTACAGCTTTACCTTTATCTGGGTTAGAGGAGAAGGGACATTAAGAATGTTTTACAAATATCTCAACAAGGTGAATGAGAATAAGAAACTGCCTGTGAGTGGAAAGTGATGGAATATGGACTAAGATACCCTTGAGTGACTTTGCAACCCAGTGGGGAAAAAGATTATAGGGTTGTAAAGATGCCCTTGGCAGTATTTCATGAGGGAGAGAATTATGATTACACCTCTATGAGGTGAACCTCCTCAGTTAACTAGTGACACCCACCGCACACCTGTTTTCTCGCCAAATTGTACCCTAGAAAAGAGTCGGAACAATTTGCATAACAGTAGCATATTACCTGCCACTGGCTGGTGTTTGGCATATTTACTGTGCTAACATATTCCTGGGCTTCAGATATCAGGCAGTTTCTGTTTACATATTTCATATTGAATTGAATTAGAGGATAAATGAGTAAGGAGGTTATGGTAATACGGTTTTTAGAAGGTTGTAGCCACTACCGTGCTACTGATATTTCAAATGCAGGTACCAATATCATGGAAGATGCCCCCCAAAATAGTCCTTGTACATCCTCTGTTGTCCTTGAAATAGCTATCGGTTCCTTGCTGTGATCAC